CCTAGAATAGGAGATAGTAAGCGGACTATAATCCAAACTAGCTAAGTGTGTTTATATCCCCTTTACGAAGTCACGCTAACCCTTACCTACCCCGCTCCCCCTTAATGCTATTTCGGTGCCGGTAACGGAGGCGATAAAGTTCTTAGGCGTTTAGCTTAATAGGAAGCTTAACTTCCGATAAAACACTAAAAAAGTAAAAAGCCGCCTAACCACCTAAATATACGCCCTTTTAAGGCTTAGCGTGGTAGCATAGGGGTATAGCTTCGCGGATATAAGAAGACTATACCTTATAGTAATACGATTCGTAATTACCTACTACGCTTTACCCGTTTATAAGATAGGGGCCGGCCCCCGGTAAGGCCCTATAGCGGCACTTATAACGGTATAGAACCGGTGTCTCTAATTAGTAGCTAGAGCCTATAAAGCTATGCCGGTTAGGGTCCTCGAAAAAAAGACCTTTATTCCCCCCCTTAACCTATACCTTATAAGCCTTAGTGCCTAAAAGGTCCGCCGGATATAAGAGGAGGGAACCAAAGATAAGATATTAGCCGGAGTATACGCCGTAGTAAGAGCCTTAGCGGCACTAAATCGGTATTATAGGACCTACGCGGCCCTCGCGTGGATAGCCTAACTTAATGCCCTAATAACCTAGGCCAGAAACACGGCCCTAAGGAAAGCCCTTATAAGGGACAAGGGTTAAACCTAGGTAGAGTCACGGAGGCTATATACCTATACCGTAGCGGCACCGAGCCGCCCCCCAATATAATACTCCCTCCGGAAATATAAAGGACTCCTAAAGCTATAAAGCGCCGTACTTACCTAAAGTAAAATAGAAAAGCTAAGCCTATAAGCCTTTTTAGTAAGAGTAAGGGTACCGGGATTTTTAATAACACGGTGCCCCTATAGCGATAGGGGGTAGAAATAGCGGAGTATATAGTGCTTTACTACTAGGATATAACCGAGGAAAAGCGTATGGAGCTTTTCGGTGCTATAGGGAGACTACTTACGACTAAAGGGGATCTATATAACGTATTAGACCACGATATAGAAGCCGGGGTAGTTATAAGGTGGTTCCTATAACGGAAGAGGCTTAAGGACTTCCGCCTCGCCCTTAAAGTTATAAAGGCCTATAAAGATATCCGCGATACCGAAAAGGGACTATATTGGGGATAAGGTAATAGAACGACTAATTAAGTATTAGGATAAAGGCCCTATAAGCCGGGGCCTTAACGGTATCGACACGGTACTATTATAATACCGATTAGCCCTTATTATTATTATCTCCCTCGGAGGCACTAATACCGCTTTTAATATACTTAAGACCCTATTAGACTAGTTAGCTAATACCGCTAAGGAGCTATAGTAGGACCGGGGGGAAGCTATTTATAAGGTATTCTAGGATAAGGTCTATCTTACCCTCTAAATACCTTATCTAACGAGATAACTCCTATACCTCTACCGACACGGTGCCGCCGCGACTACGATTAAAAGGTAATACCCGGTTTAGGGCCCGGCTAAAAGACTAGGACGCTATCCCTAAGCGCTCCTTAGCCTATAACTTATTAGCGTAGAACCGGTATAGCACTAAAGGGGAATACCTATAATAGCGATACTCGCGCTATTAGCGGCTTTTACTGCTACGTATACCTAATAGATATCTATAAGACGTTATTATTACTTCTTAGTAGCGGAGGGGACCTATTAAACTATTAGCTATATTCACCCCGATACTTATATAATACCGCCACGGTACCTAAGCGACTTATATCCTTACACGGATAACGACTATTAGTATACTAATAATAGGCCGCGCCTATTCCTATAGTATTAGCGTAGGCTTTTATATTATTAGGGTAAATACCTAAACGCTTACTATAACGAATATAACTACCCTATATTAGCGCTACGATACTACTCCGATACTATTAAGGGCTATATATAGTATATTATAAACTATACCGCGCTTATAACGGCGATTATTATTATTAGTATTATTATTACTAGGAGATAATATCTACGATTATTAGCACGCTACTACTAAAGCACCGCTACGCTATAAAGGGAACTTATATTATATTATTACTTCGGATTACTTATATATATATATAAATTGCTACTATACTACCTAATTAACCCTACGCTACTACGCTACCACGATACTATCTATAAAGTACCTATAATTAAAATATAATAGGAGTATAATAAAAAAACTAAAGGGGTATACTAGTTAGTATAGGCCGTAATAATATATCTATAAGACTATTAGCGGGAATAGATTAAGGAAAACCTATAACGAACTTATTAGCGTTATAAGGGGAAGAGGGAGGATTAAGGTATAAAGGCCTTAAGGGATATTAACTATCTAATTCCTATAATAAGGTAGGGCCCTATTCCCCCTACCTACCGCCGGATATAGTAGGAACCCACTTAGGAGAGGTAGGAGGCGCCTGCCTCCTTTACTCTTTTTATTAACCGAGTAGAAGGAATAAAGGCATAATCCTTAGGGATATAGGGAGGCTAAGGCTAAAGGGCCGTGGCCTCCGTGCCGCGGAGGCGTGGCGGTACCCCCTTAGCCCCTACTCCGCCGCTAACGATTAGCTTAGGCTAACCTATCTAACATAGCCTGCTATACTTCCTGTTAGCTATTAGCCTAGAGGTGTAATCCAGATATATAGCAGAGATAAACCGGGGCCACGTCGGCCCCGTAGCGGCACTACTCTACCTAAGGAAGTGTATAGGGGTTTTCCCCGGGTTTTACCCGGGTTTTCCCCCCTATAGCTACCCGAGAAGGACCGTATAGCCTAGAAAGGCTCTTATAGATTAGTTAGGATAGCGGAGTAAGATCGATAATAATAATAATATAGTTATTACTAGAGAATTATACCACGGAAAAGATTAAGGCGTTAAATATCTTTTACGGTAGCCGCCGTGTAATAACGCCTTTAGTATATCCTAATAATCTATAATATCCTTAAAGCGAGGTTAATTAATAGACAACGCCGGAATTAATCTACTAGTGCCTTAAGAAGATCGGATCGATTAATTACGTAGCGTGTTAAATAAAGCCTAATATATCTAAAGCCGCCTCGCGTCTCTCGGAGTTTAATTTAAACCCTTTATAATAGCATTATAATATCGCCGACTATTAACTTAAGTATCTTAAGTCTACTAAGTCACTATACCTTTAGTTCGGACTACGTAAAGACCTACTAAACTATGTTTTTTTCTATACTAGTGATACCGCCTTTACTAATAATCGCGATATAAGGTATAGCTTATAAGGGTATATAATATTACTCTTCGGGGGTCCGATTAAGTGGAAAGCTAATAAGCAGATAAGCGTAGTAACTTCTAGCACCGAAGTAGAGCTTATAGCTTTAACTACTACTACGAGGTAGTATATCGCTACTCGATAATTAGTAAAGAAGCTATTAGTAAGGTTTAAAAAGTATCCGTTAATGATATTATACGATAACGATTAAACGCGTTAGCTACTAGAAAACCCTCGCCCTTAGGTTACCTCGTGATTAAAGTATCTTGATATATATACGTTCTAGATTCGACACATTATTTAATAACGTTAAATTAAGGTCTAATAGATCGCTATAGTAGAGATAGTAAGTGAAGGATTAACAAAGGCGTTAACGCTATAGAAGCACGTTTAATTTATAAAGATTTTAGAGATAGAAATCTGCCCTTATATAGACAATTAACCAGAGCGGTTAAGGCTGCTGCTATTCCTGTTTATAGATTAATCAGAGCGGTTAACTCTATTATTATTTTTGATTTCTGTTTTTATCACGATCTACGGATTAACTACCTTCCTTTTAATCGTCTTTTCGGTTTAGATACTGCTTTTCAACAAGCCGTTAATCCTAGAATTAATATCTAGGCTTAGTTACCCTAGATTTCGATCATCAGAATAGTTAAGATTGATCCTATAGTTCTAAGGGGGGTATTACACGCTATAGCATGCTAGACTTCTATCTAATGAAGGCTTATATTAAGGAGGTCGTTAGGTATAACCGCAGGATATAGCGGCGACCTCCGGTACTTAGCACGGGCCACTCCGCACCTATATCGTAGTATAAATAGCGCCCTAGACTTATACCCTTAAGTCTAGAAGTATAAGACATAGATAATTCCGCGGTACCTTGACCCGATTATTTTTATACCCTTATTAGCGATTAGCCTAGTCTAACCCGAACTCTACTCTACTACCCTTCCTGTTACCTACTAGCCTAAAGGTATAATCTAGATATATAGTAGAGATAAACCAGGGCTATATCGGGCCCGTAACGATACTACTCTATTCAAGGAAAAGTATAGAGGTTTTCCCCCTTATAGCTACCTAAGAAGGACTATATAGCCTAAATAGGCTCCTATATATTAGATAGGATAGCGGAGTAAGACAAAAAAAAATATAAGGCCTTATATCTTTTACTACGGACAGCGTTATAATGCCTATCACGGGTACTACTACTATGGAAGTTATAATTATACTAATAAAAAGCAGTATAATATAATAAACGGAAAGGTTACTTAACTACATAAAATACTTTTACGATTATATAATAGAAACAAGAAAACGATTAAATAAATAAAAGCAGATAGATATTACCAGCAGAATAGCTCTAGCTGTAATAGTCTTAGGGCTTTAAAATAAGATATCTGCCTTAGAGCTATTAGATTAATCGGAATAAAGTCGTTTTAGCAGAGCGCCGGGCTTATAACTATTAGAATATAAATAAGATACGCGGAATTATATATATATTTATCTAAGTAAAGTTTATAGTACTTTACAGGGATATCTAAGTATTAGGAATAATAAGGGGAAATAAGTGTGGATATATAGGAATAAGGTACTCTATATGTCTGATAATATGGTTTATCATACCTCGATAAGTGGCTGTGGGCATCGGACAATTTATAAGCCAAGGGTTTTTCGGGGTGACCTGGACGAGGGGATATTGGAGTCGCCGGTTGCGGAGCTCACCGAGCCTCATTTTCAAGGAGATCAAGAACTAGGGTCGATAGCAGTCTCTCGCCAATTTACGTTACTACCAGAGTTTTTTGCTCTCGCGGTAAATCAAATACGGCTCTAGACCATCCATTCACTGCAGATACTTCTCGAGGGCTTGGTGCTCGACGGCGTTGTTTATTATTATTATTTATCGGATGTTCTGGAAGACGAACACTTGGTCATCCGCTTACCTGCCAACCCCGTCTCACAACTGACGTTGTAACTGTATCCGGAACTAGAAAGAGAAATGCCTACTTTTGAACTGGGCCAGTCCATCCCCCCGGACACTGCCCATGTAAGTTCGCACCGGCGTCCAGGGATCTGACCCATGGTGTGCTGACCGACACCCGTCCATCCGAACAGGCAGTCAGTGTGTCTTTGCCCACATGGAAGGCCAATATCGGTTACGAAGAGGGCAAAAAATGGGTTGTGGATGCAATGGCAACTGGCTATCCCAGGTATATATATATATATATATATATCTATTCTCATACATTAATTTCCCTCTCAACATCCTCAACTATATTCGCCGACAGTTCCGCACTCTAACGCATGGTGGCTAGGTTCTTTATCCACAGGAGCATACAAACCCTAGCAGAGGAAATTGTCTCTGTACATGGACAAGCTGAGCAGCGTGCTATTTTGTTCCCTACTGCTCGTGCTGCGAGACGATGTGTCGATTTTATCCGTCGCCACGCCGACAATACAATGTCCGCTGAGTTGGGCATTCTCGACTTTGGGTTAGACCAGTCGCGGCACCTGTCTTCCCAGCTCAGGGCCCTTGCACCGACCATTTCGGCCGTGCTTTGCTCCTCCGAGTCATATCCCGTTGGCAAGCAATACTGGCAGCATTCGGGCGACGGCGTATCTAGCCGGCGAGCTGAATTTTGTCGGAGTCTGGTTCAAGAAGGTCTGCTCTGTCTATGGACTAGTACACTGACGTCCAGTCAGTCCCCCAAGAATCCCTGCAGGGGTCCTAGGAGGTATCAGCGTGCATCGGTCGACATCTTACCTTCCCCCGCCGGCAATGGCAACTCGCGTTCCCTAGGGACAGACGGTCAAAGCGCCAACGAAGCGCTAGAGAGCATGCGCTTCCTAGAGGAGCGTTTCGGTCGCAACCTGGACATATCCTTGGTTGAGCGGGCTAAATCCGCCATCCGGAGAAGAATAGTTGGCACGATGGCTGTAGACATTGAAGCTACAGTTGATTCGCTCCCTCCTCTGACAAGCAACGCAAGGGGTTTTGCCAACCTACAAGAAAGCGATGTCTACCTATTCCCCTGCGGTATGAACGCGATATTTAATGCCCATCAGGCCTTGCTCCGCGCGAGAGGCGAGTTGAAAAGTATCAACTACGGGTTTCCGTACGTCGACACTCTCAAAATTCTTCAGAAGTTTGGCCCTGGCTGTCTCTTTTACGGGCATGGCTCATCCAGCGACCTCGACGACCTAGAGCAGCGCTTGACAACCGGGGAGCGATTTCTTGCGCTCTTCTGCGAGTTCCCCGCCAATCCCCTGCTCTCGTGTCCGGACCTTGTGCGCATTCGCCAGCTAGCCGACAAGTATGATTTTGCCGTCGTCATTGACGATACAATTGGGACGTTCGTCACCGTGGATGTTGTCAAGTTCGCGGACATTGTTGTCAGCAGCCTGACCAAGATCTTCTCCGGAGATTGCAACGTCATGGGCGGCAGTGCAATCCTTAACCCTGCCGGGCGCTACTATACAGCAGTCAAGGCAGCCTATACCGAAAACTACGAAGACACATATTGGGCCGAGGATGTTGTGTTCATGGAGAGGAACAGTCGTGACTTCCAGTCTCGCATAGAACGGACAAATCGCAACTCCGAGGTCCTATGTGACCTCCTCTCTACCCACCCCTCTGTTAAGCAAGTCTACTATCCAAAGACAAACCCGACTCGCCCAAATTACGAGGCCTGTCGTCTTCCGGAGGGTGGTTATGGTGGGCTACTGTCGGTAACGTTCCATAAAAAAGAGTGTGCCATGGCCTTTTTCGATGAGGTCGAGACAGCAAAGGGGCCAAGCTTGGGAACCAATTTCACTCTGACATCACCTTACGTGATGTTGGCGCACTATCGTGAACTCGACTGGGCGGCCCAGTTCGGAGTTGATCCGGACCTCATTCGGATAAGCGTCGGCCTGGAGGACACCGACGAACTCAGAGATATATTCATCAGAGCCTTAAGAGTTGCAGAGCATGTTGATTGTGGACGTCGACCGAAAATAGAGGAGTAAGGATGTCGGCCACTATGACCCCGGGGGAGGGGAGGGGTAGGACAAGTAGTCCGTCCGGTGCTCCGTATAACAAGTTACTGTTTCAGTGCGGACGTTGGTCTCGACCTGGCAGGGTATAAGAATCTATTCCGTAGCCACCATCGAAACGCTGAAGCAAACCAAGCATCAATAAAACCAAGAAAGACAAAATATCGAGAAGGGTATCATAAATATAGCGAATAACTGTGGTGGATGAAGTATTCAACCCCGAGCAAACATGGAAGCCCTCCTCACATCACTGTACAGCTAGAATGGACATATCCGGGGCCGTACTCTTCGATGCCCCTTTCGATCTCGTTCGCCTGCGCTTTCTCTTTGACTTCCTTTCGGAAATATTTACGCATATATCGTTCGAGCTCGATGTCCAAGGAGTCTGAGTGCAACCGACCTGTCAACGACTAGGATATTATGACCAGCAATGGGAATTGCACTTACCTGCTGAGCATGACATCACGGCATCAGCTCTACATAGTGGACAATACCTCTCTCGTCTGCGTTGCATTTTAATAACACATCGGATACAGAACACATGCTCGCATGTGAGCCTCACCGGTCGGTAGGCAATAACAAAGCAGATCGGACAAATAAAGTCATCCAGCCGAGGGACAACAGAGACCAACTGAGTAGATACTTGAGCACAGATATCTTTGGCCATCGAGCTTGCAAGTAACCTATCCAAAAGAACCTGCTGGGTGAATGTTTTCGAGACACCCAAGGACGTCCTTTTGTCAAACTTCTTGAGTATCTTGTGGATCGCGGTACGATTTAGTTCCTGGAATCGAACGTTCTTGAGAAGAACGGCATTGAGTCTCATGAATCGCAACAAAGCCTCCCGACTCTGGGCCATCTTAAACTGACTGGAAAGTCTGCGCTTGGCCACTTCATCCTGGAACCATCGTAACCGTAGAGCCGCCGCGTGGCTGTTGCGGCTCCCACGGTCGCGCTCGAGGGTGGAGAAGAAGACCTGGGCTTCAAGGTAGAGCTCAAAAATGGCGCGCCACCGATCAAGGTCGTTCTTGGATAGGCGACTTGGTTTCGTGAGGTGGGCGACCTCTAGTCCGAGAGAAACGATTTCATCTTTCATGGACTTCTCTTCTTGAGTTTGCAATGCTTCGAGACGGTTGACGTCGCTCTGGAGTATCTCAAAGAATGTGTTATCTGAGACAAGGGGAACTTCAATCCGCTCTTGCATGGCCTGGGATTTGTCGTCGCGTAAATACGGCCCCTCAGGGGAGCCTGCTGGATGGACGGGTGGATCGCCACCATGATCTTCACCTTCAGGACTGCCACCTCGGTAACATGAACCTGACTGTATGAACGCAAGGTGTTCGAGAAATGCGTAAGACGACAACGACAGGGGAGCACTGGCGACCACGTCGTTCTGCCTATAGACTATGACAGTGAGTCTGGGTCTGAGGCGCCTGGAGTTTCCAGTGACTGCACAAATCAGCCAGTCAGCTGCGCCAGTCTGAGGAGGGGCAAAGGAGAAGAATATGTACTGTCAAGCCCGTATCTTAGAGCTACGGGTGAGTCAGCAGTAGGGTCGAGGAGACGACGCATAGTCTCCGGTTCGAAGCCCAGGTCACTCAATTCACGGATGACTTTCTTCAGGACCTTCTTCAGTTGTCCATAAGGGATCGCCGAATTGACCCAGTGAAGCGGGAAATCTAGCAAAGGGACAATAAGTGAGCAAGAAGCACAGGGGATGTGGTATGCCAGTCACCGGCACGGACCTTCACTGGAGAGTTCCTCCCTGAAATCGTGTGCGAATTTCATGTTTCGAGGCGGATAATGAGTAATCCTTGTTTTGGGTGCCTACACGAGGGGCATTCGTCCAATGCGTACACGAGTGTCTTTAAACATGTCATGTGGTGACTACCTTATGCATGCCAGCATGGAAGTGCTTGATGGCCTAGTTGTGGGCAAGTTAACGTGTTCTGTCAGAACACGAATATCGGTACGGGAATCGTGGTCGTATTCTTCTATGGAAGGGAAAGTGTCAGATGGAGGCTCCAGGATATCGGGGCGTGACTTCGGGACCTTTTCGGGTACAGTTCGGGTGCAGTCTTAGCAAGTACTAACTGTTGTGGGTGTCACGTGACTCCCGCTCGTGACTCCGCTCGGCCAACCAATCAGGTTGCGCCGTCTAGGTAGTCAGACCTCCTATAACCTGTGCCGAGGCTCTAGATAGCTTCACACACACACGCAATACACGTTTAGTGGTACTCTCTACAGGTTATAAGCCCCCTTTTCCGCTAGGGATAGGATAGTTTAAGATCCCCTGTATTTAGCCTTTTTAGGCCTTATTTTTAGCCTTTCTAGGTCCCTTCCTTAGACCTTTAGAGGTCTTTAGCAGAGTTTTTATTATTATAACTTATCTTTTATATCCTTAACCTCCTGTTTATTAAGATAGCTAGAGAAGCACTAGGCCTATTAGCGGCCTACGCCGGGGAAGAAGACTATAACGACTAATAGAGTTATTATAAGGATAGAAACCTCTAAGATGAAATTAAGACTTAGAACGATATCCACGAGTAAGCACTAAAGGAGTAGATAAAAGATAAACTGGATAGACTATAGGAGCTAACCGCTATACTTAGAGCTTAGGGTGATAATATTCTAGCTAATATTAGAGAAAGTATTAGATGATCCTATAGCTTTCTATAAGAATAACCACGTAGGTTATTATAAGGTCTCCGATAACTAAGACTATCTATCCCTACCCTATAACTAGATTAATAGAATAAGATAATGAAGGTTTTAATAACTATTACTAAGATAACTCCTGTATAAATTAAGTTTCCTATCCTTAAAGAAGACTTAGACTATAGTGACTAGGAGTATAAGGTAAAGGCTTCCTTTATACGCTATAAACTACTAGATATCCTAGATCTGCCTTAAGTTTACCCTGAACACACGATATCTTGATAGTAAGCAATAATAGTATATAGCGCCCTCCTTATAGTAGTTAAGCTAATAAGATAGAGACTAGAAGGATTCTAATAGGATAAGGATAATATAGATCTATATAACCTTCTTTAAGTAGTTAAATAAATAATCCTGAAAGTCTCGGAAAGGGTAACTATATCCCTAATCAAAGAATAGAATACTATAAAAGTAGGAGACTTTAAGTCCACGTTAGTATATCTCTAGCGTATATACTCGATTCATAAATAACTAGACGATTAGATCGGACCTATTAATAATAAAAAAGATGCGTATATAGTGGTAGTAGCTATTTAAGGTAAGTATCCTAACCTAGTAAAGAGATATCTAAGTAAGAAGAAGATCTCCTACAGAACCCTCGTCGATAACCTTTACCTTAAGGCTAAGAGTAAAGACTATAAGATATCGATAGTTAATATAGTGATTAATACTAAGCTAAAGGATAATAAAGTAACTAAGTATAGCGTTTACTGTAGCGGTAGATATATAGAAGAGAACTACTAGATTACCTATCCGGAACGTGTAAGAAAAGACCTTATATAAGTCTTCTGGAAGAGATATAAGGAATAGAAGAAGATAGGTGAAGCCCTAAGAAATAAGAGATCTAAAACCACTAACTCTACTAAGATAAATAAGGATCCCGAAGATACCAGAGGTGTTAAGATTAAGTCGGGAGGCTCTGCCTTTACCTAATAGTCTCTTTATAGAGTAGTCCTCCGAGATTAAGCCGATTCACCTCTAATAAGAGTAGTCTCCTCCTTATTAGTCTAAAGCGATAAATTAATCTAGGACTCGGGATACTAGACTAGCATCTTTAATAACCTTAAATAGTTTAAGGAGTATAAGCCGAGATTTCTACCTTATATAAAGGTTATAGATAGTAGTAGATCCCGACCTCTTAGAATTAGGATAGTCTTCTTTAAGACTAAAGATCCTATAATAAACTAAAACCCACGAATAGACCCTAGAAGATATAAGATATTATCCTAGTGCCCTAGCTAACCTGATCTTAGCTAGCTACCTTCTATTCTAAGGAATAGGATATAGTGACTATAATAAGACCCTTTTTATGAAGAAGTAGGATAATAACTCGCTAAAGTCTACTAGAAAAATGATATTACTATCGTCTAAGTGGATAAAAAAACAGGCTATAGAATAGAAGATACCCTGGTATATGCCGCTATTACTATAAAGTATCTTAGAACCGACTTTAGCGTATAGTATAAAAGGCTCGGCTATATAGGCTAAACTAAAATCCTTAAGGCTTATAAGGCTATAGGTATTATTTTCGACGCTACCTAAGTGGAAGCATTCTATTACGAGGTATATTAACTAGCTAAATCTAGGGAATAACCCTTAAGAATTAAGCCTGCTATACTATTAACCCCGGGAGACTTTTATATAGACCTAATCGATATTAAGCTAATAGCCTTTAAAGGTTATAAGTATATTATTTATTGGATTAAGCAGTACATAGGCTACTACTACTTAAGGTGGCTAAGAGATAAAAAGGCTAAAACTATCGTAGATAAGATTAAGGTATTTAAGGCTATATAGGAACGATAAACCAGACTAAAGATCAGGGTATATTACGGGTTAACCCCGATATAAGGATCCGGCTATACTCCGGATCTTCCTAACTATGCGCTTAGTTAACGGACCTATATTGCTAAGTTATCGCTACCTTATAGCTAGCCTAGCGCTATAGACCTTTTTCCTTTTTCCTTTTTCCCTCTTTAGTTCTAGATAATCTATTATTACGATCTTATTTAGTGCCACGACCTATAACTAATCGTTTATATATCTAGAACTTTACGATACCCACACGTTACGCTAGCAATAGATTAGGATCCTAACGCTACCGCCTAATAACCTATTAGAATTAAATAGGTCGCGGAGTGGATAAACTAACGGTTTAAAGAGAATAACCGAGCCCTAAACGTAAGGCTAAGCACTCTTTATAAACAATATACCGATATCAATATAAGGCTCGCTCTGATATAAGAATATTACTCGGAAATATACTAGTTTATAGACCGATAACGCGTAAGAGAAGAAGCTAACGAGCGATAACGTCTATTAGTCGAATAGCTTATAGCCTAGCTCCTAGGATCGCCTACTCCGTAAAACCTAACACCGCCTAACTTAAGTATTCTGGCTCCCTTATAAACCCCGATAATCCTTATACTAATAGAATCTACCCTATTACCGGTTCCATCGCTAGCGCTATAGCTAATAATAATACTTATTATTATTATTATCGATCTTACTCCGCTATCCTAACTAATCTATAGGAGCCTTCCTAGGCTATACGGTCCTTCTCGGGTGGCTATAGGGGGGAAAACCCGGGTAAAACCCGGGGAAAACCCCTATACACTTCCTTAGATAGAGTGGTGCCGCTACGGGGCTAATATAGCCCCGGTTCGTCTCTGCTATATATCTGGATCGCACCTTTAGGCTAATAGCTAACGGGAAGTATAGTAGGCTAGTAGTTAGGTAGGTTAGCCTAAGCCGATTATTAGCGACGGAGTAGGGGCTGAGGGGGTACCGCCGCGCCTCCGCGGTGCGGAGGCTACGGCCCTTTAGCCTCGGCCTCCCTACGTCCCTAAGGATTATGCCTTTTATTCCTTCTACTCGGTTAATAAAAAGAGTAAGGGAGGTAGGCGCCTCCTACCTCCCCTAAATAGATTCCTGCTATATCCGGCGGTAGGTAGGGGGAATAGGGCTCTACCCTATTATAGAATTAGATAGTTAATATTCTTTAGGGTCTCCGTGCCTCTTTTCCCCCTGTTTTCTTCCTATAACGCTAATAAGTTCGTTATAGGTTTTCTCCCGATCTATTCCCGCTTATAGTACCGTAGGCTTATCGTTACGGCTCTATACTAATAGTAAAACCCTTTAGTTTCCCTTATTTATTTTCCTATTATAATTAGACTATAAGTGCTTAATAGGTAGCGCCGCGGTAGCGTGGTAGCGTGGGGTTAACTAGGTAGTATAGTATTAATTTATATACACGAATAATTAAGCAGCAGTAGTAGTATAATATAAGTTCTCCTAGTAGCGTAGCGGTGCCTTAGTAGTAGCGTGTTAATAGTCGTAGATATCGTCTCCTCATAATAATACTAGTAATAATCGTAACCGGTATAAAAAGGGCTCGGTTCGGGTTATACCGTATATGTCCCCTAGTAGTATTAGGGCAGTGCCGTGGTGGCTAACCTAGGGTAGTTATATTCGTTATAGTAAGCGCCTAGGTATATACCCGGACGATATAGAGGCCTGCTTTAATACTACGGGTATAGGGGTAGCCTGTTTTTAACATACTAATAGCCGGCGTCCGTGTAAGGATATAAGTCGTGTCGATATCGTTATAGTGCCGTAGGTATATCGTGGTAGTATATACTAATTTTCCTCTAGGTCCCCCCCGCTACTAAAAAATAGTAGTAGCGTCTTATTAGATCTTTATAGGGCGTATATAGTGGTAAAGACCGCCGGTAGTACCGGTATTGCTGCTATACGTCTCCCCCTTTAGTGCTAAAGTAGTCCCCTGCTAATAAGCTATAGGCTAAGGAGCGTTTAGGGATAGCGTCCCGGTCTTTTAGCCGGGCCTTAAACCGGGCGCTGCTTTCCGGTTATAGCCGTGGCGGCCCCGTATCGGCGGAGGTATAGGAATCATCTTATTAGATAAGATATTTAAAGGGTAAAATAGACTTTATTCTAGAGTACCTTATAAGTAGCCCCTTTTCGGTCTCCCCGCGGTATTATAGTAGCGGTGGTTAGCTAACCGGTCCTAGTAGGGACTAGAATATATCGAGAGTGGTATTAGTATTACC